TTATTTTAAATCGAAAGTAAATGAACATCGAGAAAACCCAAATAAACTATGGTCATTGATTAAAGATCTATCAAGAGCATCATTGGGAGAAAACAACGGTGTTCGTCAATTAAACGAAAACGGAGAACTTGTAACGGAAAGCAGAAGCATTGCCGAAATCTTCAACTCTTTCTTTGTTAGTCAACCACAACGTCTCTTATCATCTATAAAGTCTACTTTTTGTAGCGAATCTCTGCTAAACTCTCTAAAGATAAAGATAAAGTTTGAAATTCCACATATTTCTCCAGAAAAGGTACTTCAAATGCTAAATTCTATGCCAGCTAATAAAGCAACAGGTGCTGATGGATTGAGTCCTAAATTACTGAAAATTGCTGCTCCGTCTATATCGAGCTCAGTCGCACGTCTCATAAACCATTGCATATCCACAAACACCTTCCCATCCAGATGGAAAGTAGCCAAAGTCACCCCCATTTTTAAGAATCAAGGAAGTGTAGAACTCAAACAAAATTACAGACCAATATCTGTTCTTCCGATCCTCTCAAAACTATACGAAAGACATCTCTACGAAGCACTATATTCACACTTATCCAATAACAATTTCCTATACGGCCTGCAATCTGGCTTCCGCAAACGCCACTCAACTGAAACTGCTCTAATTCGCTTACTAGACCAAATCCTTCTTGACCTTAATAAAAACCACGTTACTGGCGTTGTTTTCGTAGACTACAGCAAGGCGTTTGACCTGATTGACCACCAGCTTTTATTGCAAAAGTTAAGCGCTTATGGAGTGGATGATACCTATCTCAAGATTTTCCAAAATTACCTCTCAGACAGGACACAGTTTGTGGAAATCAACGGCTTCAAATCACGCCCATTATGTATAACTCGTGGTGTCCCTCAAGGTAGCATTCTGGGCCCTCTTCTCTTTCTTGCTTTTATAAATGATCTACTTCCAAACATACCTAATTCAACTGTTGATGTATACGCAGATGACACCACTTTCTCTTCAAGTTCCAGCTTCTCTGTCGCGTCGACTGAATTACAAGTTAACCTTCAACACGATATAGACAAACTATGTGAGTGGTCAGACAAAAATAGAATGGTACTAAATGCTGACAAAACCAAATCAATTCTTATTACTGGTAAACGCCTTAAATCCCGAGTGCAATTATCTTCCTTACCTCTTACAGCAAGTGATTCAAATATTGAACTAATTTCTTCACAAAAATTACTTGGCGTAATCATTGATGAACATTTAACTTTCAAAGAGCATATAAACAAACTTAGTAAAAACCTTAGTAAAAAAATCGGCCTGCTGAGAAAGATACGAAGATACTTACCACTACTTGAGAGAAAGCTATTTTACAACGTTGTCGTCAAGCCAGTTATGATGTATGGTAGTTCTATTTGGAGTTGCTGCTCGCGAAATGATCTGCTTAGAATTTTTAAATTACAAAAAAGAGCAGCTCGGGTAATTTTAGGAACTGACACTTCCTCCAGGTCAATAGCCAATTTTAATAAACTGAACTGGATACCTTTTTATGACGAAGTTAAAATTAACAAATGCACTTTAGTTTACAAAAGCCTGCATGATCAAGCTCCACAATATATTAAGGACTTATTTAAAACAAACAATGAAATTAATGGTAGACAAACTCGTCATGGCGAATATAATTTAGTGTGTCCTAAATATAATTATGCAACTGAGGGAGGAAAATCTGTAACGGTCAGCAGCATTAAAATATGGAACAATCTCCCGAAGGATATTAAGACGAAACCTAGCGTTAATTCCTTTAAGTTTGCCCTTAAAAAATACTTCTTAGAATCTTATAAGGGCATCGATCGCTTCGAATTATTATTGTGACGTACCATCAAGTTGTACTGTATATAATTTGTATATATAAATTTATAATCCTAAGTGACCTTTTACATATTTACTCTAAGTAGCTTTTAGACGTTTTAAAGTAGAATTAATAACTTTGTATGTATTGTATATGAGGGCTACAGGTTTTTCAGCTATATTGCTGTCATGTGTTTCTACCCTCTTTAAATAAAGTTGTTCATTCATTCATTCACTTGCAAGGGACAGTAATATCAAGGTCAACAGGTCAATGTTTTATCACTCATTGACTATTAACCGTGACTATTCGAAGTAAACAATGTTTATATTTTCCTACAAATTTAGCTTTATTGTGGCTTACTGAAAGTATTGAAAACCGTTGAAACCGGGAATTACTATAATGATTGAAAATAATTATTAAACTATGATGTCGACTAGTCGACTATGATTGAAATTATCGGCGAAGTAGAATCCTATATCGTTGTATTAAATTTCAGTAGACAATAGTTCATGTTATTATATTTACAGAATTGTGATGTAGTTTTGAAATTTGAAGTTTTACACACAATATAATCAGTGCTAGCACAATGACTTCGTTTCAATTTGGGCATATAAAAAATTAAAATTTTGATGGCGTGGACTTTCACAAATATAAACGCCTGATAATTGAAAAATAAATATCAGTGCGAGCACAACGGCCCCAAAATAATAACAAATAACAGAATATAAGCTAAATTAAAAACAGCAAAGCTTTACGTACTTCGATCTAATTTTCTAAGGCGCCAAATTACGTACATTTTCGACGAAAACCCAATATTTTCTAACACCGCGACACGAAATTTAGAGCTATACTAGAAATACATGCATGCAATAACCCCTCGCCTGTTTCAAAAGATGTATACTCAGTGCCGTTGCGAGCACTTCGTCTCAGGGAGTGTGTGAGGCTAGATAGAAGGGGGGGGGGGGGTTACCAAAATGTTTCCAGATGCACAAAAAATTTTCAGGACATATAATAATTTTTCCGAAAATACAGTTATTTTGCAAATGCATTTTCTCATGTCTTGAGAATTACCTGAATTCCCCTGAAAATCTTCTGCAAATCTACTTAAATTTACCTAAAAGTGCGTTGGAAATCTACCTGAAATTCCTCATGAACAATTATCAGGGGTGTTGCCCCCCCCCTCCCCAGTGAGTTCCAAGCAAACACTCTCTGATTTATTGTTCATGTATTTCACCTCCCAAAATATTGTGCATCATACTCTAAAGCATTTTGCTGTTGTCATGCTCTAGCGTGGTTCAAATTTATGAATTTTTATTATAATGTATAGTGTTTTATAGAGATTTCGAGCACTGATAAAAATGATAATCTCACATGTGAAATTATTCATGATAATCTCACATGTGAAAATTATCGCTTTTCAATTATCGCTTTTTTGTAAAAATTATCGCTTTTCAAAGACTATCCTTTATATAATAAACCGAAAAATACATGGGTGGTTGGAAATACCAGATTTATTTTTCGTGTTGAACAAGACATCTCACTCGTTCGCTGCGCTCATTTGTGAGATATCATGTTCAACACTCGAAATAAAGCTGGTATTTCCGCACACCCATGTATTATTCTCAGATATTGAAACTACAACTTGACTGGTTTAAATTATTATCAAGTTATCAGTGATTGTAAAAGTTGCAGATAGAAGTGTTTTGTTTTATATTATTATCAAGTTATCAGTGATTGCAAAACCTCCAAGTCCCGCCGGGGCTAATGCACTTATCATCGGCTTCCCCGGGGGTCGACCCCCGAACCACCCAGGGACTTTTGTTAAGAGGATGAAACAAAACATTAACAAAGTCCCTGGGTACAGAGGAAAGTTTAATGACAAAAATCATGTTACAGCCAGCCCCCTACCCCCGGGGCAAAAACGCAAACATAACATCCCTAACAAAAACAAAATATTATATAAATGGTGAACTGGATACAAAATACAGCAGAAAAGTAAACAATTTTAAAATAACCGTCCAAAAATGTCAGGTTCAAGCATGTAAAGCATGCACGCTTGAAATAATTTATTTGCGCATGTGCTGAATTATAAATAAGGCCAAAAAAAATATGTGCGTTTCCGGTTTCTTCTTTTAAAAACTTAGGTAGGGTAGGTCGGTTTTAACTTTTTTTTAAACTTTTTTATTAATTTTCCGAACAAGCGGACGCCATTTTGTTTAGACAGTGCATCCACATCCAAAGATAAATTTCCCTAATATTGCCTCAATTTTCAATTTTCTGCAAACTTTTTCCTCTAAGTGGAAACACTTACCAGCATGATCCAATAAAAAAGTTTAGGGTCGGGATTTCGACGTCCAAAAGCTAGGTAGGGTCGGGAAACCGGAAACCCGCATATTTTTTTTGGCCTAATTAGGGTAAGATGAAGTTTATACTATTCGAACTCAATGATTCTTAGATATGAGTAATGTCTGTGCAATACAGGCATCGATATCTGTTGTCTGATGGTGAATATGGTGTATGATGGTCGAAGTGTGTCATATGGTGTATGATGGTGTAAGGTGGTTGTACAGGGAAGGGTTGTCAGATGGTGCATGATGGTGTATGATGGTTTATGCAAAGTGTGTCAGATCGTCAGATGGTTGTCAGATGGTGTATGATGATGTAGGGTGATTATACAGGGAAGGGTTGTCAGATGAAGATTGTGTATGATGGTCGAAGTGTGTCAGATGGTTGTCAGATAATTGTCAGATGGTGTGTCATTCGGTGTAGGATGCTTATACTACGTTGCTATATTTTATTATAAATAAAAATATAATATAATAATAATAATAAAATATAATATAAATAAAAATATAATATAAATATACTTCACCACCTGACAACCGATGGTTATATCTATATTGGACATATATGTTAGATACCGCTGACCATATATGAAACAAAATCCCGCGGGTTTATCCCAGGGGTTAACAGTGCCTGTTACCAAACCCAAACAATTCCCCTTCCCAGAGGGACACTATTTTTTACAAAAGACAACGAATCCCCTCCTGTTCCTGGGGGTTCCCCCTGGGGTGTCCCAAGGCTCGCCCCCCGGGGAAGCCGATAATAAGTGCATAAGGTTCGAGTGGAAATGCCCAACCCCCGGGATGTGCTTTACAGGAAAATGGCTGGGCGAGGGGGATGGGACACTTGGATTTGTCTGATGCATTAAAAGTCATGGAAAAAGAAAAAACTTTTCATATTGCTACTATAAAATGGCTTATTGTGCTTATTCATGTGCTTATTCCAGACTGCTTGTCAAATATTTACTTGCAAGAAGTAGAAATTTACTCTGACCACTGGATGAAGAAGACATTAAATAAGTACTGGTCAATAAACAGAAATGTATTTTATTTCATACTATTACAATTTTATTTTTATACTATAAAAATAAAATATAAACATGCAGCCTCTGACATGCAGCATAGAATATGCAAATTCGAGGCAAAATTATTGTTGAATCGGTTCATTTATAGGATTTGATAACAAATAGTAACTATAAAAGTTTAAACCTTGTCTTCACATCGCTTTATTCTGTTTATAGCCAATGCTTTTAAATTTACATATTTTAGAATCAGTTCCTTTCCTGGTAACTGCATTTTTAAATAAAATTATCGTGAGTAGTGAGCGCTAAGCAGGCCGTTTTACTATAAACAAATTTTAGGAATTGATAACACCTTTCATGAAAAATATATCGTTGCACATTCGGTCACAGTCGGAAAAATGTTCATAGTATGTTGTACCGTCGTTTGCAACTAACAATGAACAGTCGCTCATAAAAACGGCATTCGCGTGATTAGAATCTTCAATGATTGTCAAGAACAACAACACTTAAATTGTTGTTTCCCATGTGTACAATAATAAGTAAAAAAAACTTTGTGTGGCTGAACGTGTTGGGCTAGAGACCCGCTGGAAACCTTTACAGGCTTTTTAATGAGAATAGAGAATGTTTTATCTGCAACTGTTCATCGTTAGTTGCAACCGACGGTATTTGACAGCATAAAATTGCCTGTGGCTGTGATAACTGATATAAATAAAATACAGTCTGGTTATACTGACTTGAGCGTGTCATGACAAACCCTTTATTGGAAAATTGTGAAGAAACAGTCGAAAATAGAGGATCGAATATCATACTTCATCTAGTATAGCTACAGTAACATTGGTACATAGCGTTGTGAAGACAAGCCTTTTCTTACCTTTCGCTTAAGCAGTCTTTTCCATGCTTCTCTACGCTTTTCCAGGCGAGGTTCTCTTTCCTCGGCAGTCTCTTCGAGCAAACATTGTCGTCTTCACTCCTTCTCTTGTCGTTTCCTTGCCGCTCTTCATGGCTCCATATCTTTTCAATTGGTATTTGATGCCGTAATTGCTTGATAAAAGTTTTAATAAAACTAATTGCTTTTAAAGCTGCCAAATGTTTTTGCAAATGTACAAAAAACTGTAGCGCAAAAAGCAAAATATTTTCATGAAGTATCTGTCAGTTAAAGTCGTCATTCGTCATACAACAACAAATTTAAATTTGACCAATCGGTGTTCGCTATTCATGACAGTCCGCCATATTTTTGAGATCAGTGAGGATGACCACCCACGCACAGTGATCCACGCCCGCGATATTTCATGAACTTCAGACTTCCCTAATGCTTTCGTTTCCGCGGGTGTAAATAGCCGGGGGGAATTAGAACCCTCGCACGGCGGTTCGCGCCGCCGGCCCGGGGATGAAAGTTGCATGCCCATATATGGGCATGCAACAAAAATGACAGCGCACACACAACGATTTTGTTAGTTTTAGTCAAAATGGCTAAGTTATAATAATTTAAGTTAGTTTTAATGCTGTTTTTATCGGCTGACTAAAATCGCATCGTGTGCGCCAGGGCCGGCCAGGCTTTATTTAAAACGTTAAGGAGATTATTTGTCGAGTCAGCAGGTACATTTTTTCTGAGCCACAATGGGCAATTCATTGCCACTCATCACAACAGACGGTTCAATATCACTCACCACAACAAGCAGTTTAGCATCACTCACCACAATTGGCGGTTCAATGCTGCGTGCCTCAGTAGGCGAATCAATATTTTGCTCAAATCGACAACAAATATCGAAATTGAACTCATTCTACAAACACGATACAAGAACAAGTTTTCGTAGGTCTCTCACGGACAAATACACAACACCTGGTAGCAAGTGAATCAAGTGATAAGATTATTCACCCTTTTATTTATACATTTTGTCGCCTTAATATAATAAAATACTATATTTTAATTTCAAACGTCTTGCTTCTCATGTGCCGAAACGTTTATAGAAACAATAGATCAGCTGATTATCTATTGTTTTTAATGCGTTCGGCCATGAGAAGCGATCGGCCTAAAAGGTTTTTATAGGCTGTTAATAAGCTCCAGTAAACTATTAAAGGCACACCGTTGACTCTAGACTTAACATCAAAACAATCATCGCCTTGATTAATATTCCCTCGGACAACAATTGCCACAAAATTGCCATAATTTGCAGATTGCTTCAGCGTCAGGTTGTGTATTTGAAGTATATGAAAGAAACACATGTGCATCTTCCTGTCACTACTTCCTGTGCGCCCGGCAAGCGTAATTAATTTTTGTAACCCCCCTGAATTGCTGACATACAAACACAAAGAAATCGAGATTCAAGCTGGTCTACTAAACTCGGCGCGCGGAGACTGGTACCGTCGAGAATAGTGTGCTGCCTCGCTGAGGCTTGGCAGCAAATTATACGCGTACCTGCCGATTTTATAGCATGTGCGTTTTATGGCAATTGGAAAATTTATCAGATGTTCTAAACTAATACTAGCCATGTCTGTTGGTATTTACGAAACCGCAAAGGCTGCTTTAGAGAAAGATGATCGACAATATATTAACAATATCTTAAAGATATATGTAACCGAAGCGTTCCATTAAAGACTTATTGAGCGCTGTGAACAACACAAGCTTCTTCCTCGCACCGCGAAATTTTGGTGCGGAATCTCACATCCCGAAGTACGTACGAGAGAAAACAAAAAAGTTTTGTACGGCCTTAAGGTAAATATATTCTATTTTAACTAGATATAGCATTATAGCTGTTGTAGGCTGTAGTGGATTGCGCGTCTGTATGTAATAAGAGACGAAATTTACATAATATTGCAGTCAATTTACATAATACTGCGGCTAATAGAAGCAGTTTCAGTTTGTTTATACTTTGTTTATGCCTCTTGTGGAATGCAGGCTTTATAAATTGATCAGATTCTAGTAATAATACTGTATTATTTATACCTACTTGTCTAGTATATTAAAACTACAAGCGCATGACAATATGATGCAGGACTTTGTGTGACAATCTTGCATGACAATGTTGCATGATTTTTGACAAGATCTAATTCCCTCTAAATTGGAGGCTGTCTGTGTAGAAATTATTAGGCCACACAGTCGACCACTTCTTGTTACAACCTTTTATAGACCACCCAATGCATTGATGATGAAAATAAAGAAATGTATATTCTGGGTGATCTAAACTGTGATATGCTTAAAACAGACAAAGATTCAAATTCTCCAACAAAGAAAATCAAAACATTGTATGAGTTGTATCAATTGTTACAATTGATTGATGAAGCTACCAGAGTAACTATGACAACCTCTAGTCTTATTGATCATATAGTCACCAATACACCAGAGAAAATTTCTGACTCTGGTGTTATCCATACTGGATTAAGTGACCATAGTTTGGTATTCGCAATAAGGAAAATTTCTGTTGTTAAAAAACAAGAGAAGAAAGGTGAGATAAAAATATGAAAAAATTTGATCATCAAAAATTTGTTGAGGATCTGAGGCAACAACCCTGGGAAAATGTATACTTCTTCGCTGAAGATCCCAACGCTATGTGGGAAATTTGGAAGTAACTCTTTTTAGAGGTCTTGGATAACCATGCACCACTTCAACCTCGTCCCCACGGCCTTTTGAGGAAGGAGGCGAAGGGCAGCAAAAGCCCTGGTAAAGACTGGTGAAATAATCCACAAATTGTGGATTATTTTGTCACGTGATATATCGGAGCAAATACTATACAGGGGGGTGCGATCGCGGATCGCTTTAGCTACAATATTTTCGTCAATATTGCATATAAAACCTTATAAAACACCGAAATCGACAAATAAATAGCTCTGAGAACCTTGGTTGAACTGTATAAAGGAGATCTATTAAATATACAAAGCAACAGTGCAAAACGAATGGATCGATAGAAGTATTTATACTACGAATTTAATACTGTCGCAAGGAAATTGCTGCCTCGATTGTGAAACAGATATGTAAAATCACTTTAATTAATATGGACTCTCAATACACCATATCCATGCATGATCATCAAAACATTTAATAGTTATTGTTGCTACAATATATCTTTCTCGCAAATGTCAATAATAATCATACAGTATATTTAATAGTTAAAGGAGCTAGTACAAGACCCAAAGAATGTCTAAATAACAAGGAATATATGTCAACATAGTATGCACTTGGAATTTAAATGCATAGTTAGCCATATGAATTTGAGTTGAAATATTTTCATTCTTATCCCAAGAACATTGTGAACACACATGCATATAGTGCTTTGGGTTTAGATTTCAAAGGCCAAGCTTCAAAACAAATGTTGTGATCTTATTAATGATCAGGCACAAACAATTACATGCATGAGGATCAAATCAGACAGAAAGCCTCCATATGCTTTATCAAGGCGGGATAATATAATGAGAGGGACTTAATTTCCTTATTACTGTTACTAACAAGCCCTTGTTTTTGTTTGTAATCAACTACACAAATTACTTCCCAGAACATTAAGGAGATTATTTGACAAGTCAGCAGGTACATTTTTTCCTGAGCACAATAGACCTTTCCAAGGTTAATGACGCCATCTTGAATCCATTGTTTTCACCATTGTGTTTGCACCCCCTGCAAATTTACCTATAGGGAATTCCATTGTGTTTGCAGTACTATTGTGTTTCATTATGGCGTCGATAACCTTGGAAAGGTCTATTGGGGCAATTCAGTGTCACTCATAACAACAGGCGCTCAAAATCACTCACAACATACAACAGGCAGTTCAGCATCACTCACCACAATTGACTGTTCAATACTGTGTGCCTCAGTAGACAAATCAATCAATGTTTTGCTCAGATCGACAACAAATATCAAAATTGAACTCATTCTCAAAACATGATACAAAAACAAGGGGTCTCTCATGGACAAATACAAGATACCTGGTGTCAAGTGACAAGATTATTCATCTCTTTTAATTTAAATACATTTTGCCACCTTGTAATAAAGTACTATTTATTGTTGTTGGTGACCATCAGTTCAGTGAGCAATTTAAAACATCCGCAGTGTATGCTTTATCAAACCTAAAGATACTTGGCTTCACCTCGTATCTTTATACCTGACAAAACTATAGTACATAAAATAATAACCATTAGTGATAGTTATTATTATATATTTAGCCTGAATATTATTATAAATGTATGAAGAATATTATACATATATTCTTGATGCTCAACATTATCCGATAATCATTTAACATTAAATTATTGACTGCTATTGAGAATTGTGTGAATTCCCGAATTACTTATTGTTACAGACTGTACTGACCTCTTACAATTATGGTTATTATAACCAAAATCTGACAATGTCTCTAGTTAACCCATTGAGCTGCAATGTGCCCCAGTGTGCCCTACTTACTGAAATTGACTGATTTGTAGTTTATGGGGTTTTTTTGTGGCAATTCTTTGGGCATCACTACACTGTGAGAATACAAGTATTAGTTTAAACGACACAATATGATGTAAGTTACCTTGCAGGTATATAAGCTGTTGGTCTGGTTGAAGTGCTCAGATAATTTGGGGAGACCCATGGCATGCTCTCTCAACAGTGAAGGTTCAAAAACACGCATGCCGGAATGCTTATAGAATACCTCGCCATTTTTCCACATTCATTGACACATTAATAAACACAAGAATCACTTCAAAATAGTTTAAGGGTAAAGTTTAGAGATTAAATTATATGAGTATGTTAGTTTGGTTCAAATTTGACTGGGGGTTTTTGAAGAATGAGGCAATCATATTAGATCAATTTTGAGTAAATTGACAATGTTTACAAGGAATTAATAGCGGTAAGGTGTGAAAGTTGTGGGTATTCTATAGTTGTATAAAAAAAGTGAAAAACCAAGCTAAAAGCCCCAAGAATACCTGATTGCCACAATGTCAAAGAGCATAGTTGCTGACTAAGAAACATCTATTAGACCATGTACAGTACTTGAGTCTTGTGATAATATCAGTGATATTGCTTTTGTATTATACGATATACTGTAAACTTGCTGTTAACATATTATATTAATATTCATGGTTGTCAAATATCATAAAATCAACACACAAAATTCACACACAAAGGTTTAAAATGTATATTGGTATAAACGTTTAATAAAAATGCATACATACGTAAACCATGGTCGGCATGGAATTTTGTCACTTGGCACAGTACTTTAATGTTTTTTTAGTGTTTGTCCCACATTATTAAAATATATGAAATCTCATGAGTTTCCTGACAGTGAGTCAATGACATTATGACAGTGCAACTGTTCATATTAAAACGTTCTAATCACATTTTACATGCACATTTATATTCAGCAGTAATCTTTTCATAAAGGTACATCAAAGTCCCAAATCAAATTCTTCACTGAAAGTATGTTATTGACTCCCAAACGACAAATATTATAAAATACGCTTCCGAGCTGAGTCAGTCAATGTTTAGACTCTTCTGTTTGAATCTTGATCTTCGACAAGTATTGCTATTCATTATATTCCATATTTTTTTGAAGAACATCGCAGACTACATATTTATTTCCACTGTCGGTTGAAAAGTTTATCATCATAGTTTCAGTCACAACTATCGCCCCTTTGCACGCCCATGTTTGATAAAATCAAAGCGACCCGCACCCCCGGTTTGAAAAGTTAAATATTCTGAAATATTCAAAATTTTAAGCATCACGTGACCAGCCTTTACCTGGGCCTTTGCTGCTTCGCCTCCTTCCTCAATAGGCCCTGGGAACGAGGTTGGCACCACTTCAACATAAAAAGATTAGAACAAAAAAGTTCTATAGATTACAAGTGCTATAAAACAACTTATAATCACAAGGGGGACAGATTAAAAAAAGGCCATTATTACAAACCTAGAGATAGACTGGTTAAATTACAAAACAACGAGAAACAAAGTTTATATTCAGCTAAGAAATGCTAAAAAGAATCATTACTCCACTAAAATTTCTGATCAAAAATGCAACCCTAAAGAGGCTTGGAAAACTATAAACGATATACTAGGTAGGCAAAGCAAACCAACAGGAGTAAATGATAGTTAAAATTAGGTGAAAATAGTTTGACAAATATCAAAGATATTGCGGAGGGCTTTAATAATTATTTTTCAAATATTGGCCCTGATCTGGCTAGCAAAATTAATACTCCAAATTTGAACTTTCAAACATATATTGAAAAGACTAAATGTCAGAATTCAGTGCATTCCAGCCAGTCACTGTCAGCAATGTCTACCATCTTTTACATGGTCTTTCTAGCAACAAAGCCACTGGCGTTGATAAGATCTCCAGTAAAATTATTAAAATAGCTGCACCTGCTATTTCAGATTCACTCACATATATTTTCAATCAAGCTATTATCCTATCCCTTTTCACTCACGAATGGAAAACGGCTAGAGTAATACCTCTCTACAAAAATGGCCAACGAAACCTGCCAGGAAATTACAGACCAATTTCAGTTCTGCCTGTCATTAGCAAAATTATAGAACGAATTCTGTACGATCAGCTATACTATTATTTAACCAAATTTGAACTTCTGAGTGACTGTCAATTCGGTATTCGTAAATTTCACTCTACAGCTACAGCATTACTTGACTGTACAAATGATTGGTATATGAATTTAGACCGCAAAATGTTTAACCTGGTAGTCTTAATTGACTTAAAAAAAGCATTTGATACTGTCGACCTTCAAATATTATTGAAAAAATTAGAGCTGTACGGAATAAAAGGACAAGCTCTGTCTTTTCTAGAATCATATCTCTCAAATAGAAACCAAAAATGCCAAATACAAGGATCTGTTTCATCAGAGAAATTGATCAAATGTGGCGTACCACAAGGCTTTATTTTAGGGGCCCTATTTTTTCTGTTACTATATTAACGATTTGCCTCAATGCCTGGATAAAACAAAACCTCGGTTGTTTGCTGACGATACGAACCTGACAGTTTCTGGAAACTCTATTACTGATATTGAAACTGCAGTGAATTCTGATTTGAAACAACTAAATGTAAAAATTGAAAACGAGTCAATTAAACAAGTTTATGAATCCAAAACTCTTGGAGTGACAATTGACCAGCATTTATCTTGGAAAAATAACACTGAGAATATTAATTGCAAGAAAATTACATCTGGAATATCGCCTCTTAGGCGTTTAAAAGAATTTGCTGATAAGCAAACACTTCTTTCTGTATATAACGCTATTGTTCGTAGAATTAGCATTATTTGTGAAGTATGGGATGTGTTTGGAGAAACGCAATCAAAGAGACTCCAAAAACTACAAAACAGAGCTGCTCGGATTGTTTTGAATATGAGCAATAACATAGATCACTCTGTCGCATTGCAAGCATTGGGTTGGAAGCTACTTAAAACAGAAAGGAAGAAAAGTAAAGTAAAAATCATGTACAAATTATTGAATAAAATGGGACCCAAATCAGTCAGTAATCTCTTCACATATAAGGGTGAGGTGACAAACTACAAACTTCGGAACATTTCAAGTAGAAATGTTAAAATGTTTTTGAAATGTTTTAGGAGTTGAAATGTTTTTTTCATATTATTAGCACTGCATGATGAAGATCCGGGCTTACGGATCGAAAGCTTTGCAGTAATAAATTTACGTGGTGTTTCCACAAACGAAACCTATTATATTTTATCACCATGCAAACATACAAAGAACTTATTTCAAGTAGTCTTTGTTTGCCACAACCACGTACTAATAATATGAAAAAAAAGTTTCGTGTATGACGAAGCACACCTTTTGAATTCTATTCCTAAAGAAATAAGAGAGAGCAAATCCTTTTCTTCCTTTCGAAAGAAAATCACTCCTCACATTGACTGATAGCTAATTAACATGAATGTTAATATTACCTGTATATAGATTACTACCTTAGTTTGTTAGTTCATATAATACTATATATCTTATATAATTTTGTAAATATCTTTAAAATTCTTTTCTGTATACTTTTCGCACGCCCCTCGTGGAAATCAGCTTCGGTTGTCGGGGTCAGCGTGTTTAAATAAAGTTTATCTATCTATCTATATATCTGTGTAATACGATCTCTACGACATGTATACAATAAGTAAAATGGATCATGTTGCCATTGATGAATAGAACTCGAGAAGCAGTTAATTAAACGTGGAAATTCTCTTCCTGCGATTTAAAGTGCATATGACACGAAATTTTTTTACACATTTCAAAAAAACGACCTTTAAAAAGTGTGTCTGCAAAATTTTAAACGCCAACTATAAAAAGAAGTGGTTTTATTACGCAAATATATTCCGTATTTCGAACCTAAATGTGTCTTTCAAATTGCGCGGCCTAAATCATAATGATGACGTCACGTTGGTTGCAAGTCGAGATTTCATGTAAATATGGCGGAAGGTATTAAAGAAGCAAGGAAAAGAGGAGGTCGTTATTGTGTCGCTGGAGCGCCAAATGATGTTAGTTGTACTAACTCGACATTCACAAATGGAATACGGATGCATCAGTTCCCAGCTAATCCGGTCGTAAGACGCCAACAGGTTAAATTTTTACAGCGCCATCGGCATGACTTTTGCGAACCACTGAGCAAATACACCTCACTTTGCTCAGCACATTTCGAGTCAAGTTGCTACGAAAGGAAATATATTGGCCTGCTCATTTCGGAAAGCAAAATGCAGTTTATCTTGCGCAAAGGTGCTGTCCCAACCATCGACTCTGTATTGTCGGAAAGAGAAGAAATCCTTATACTGAACGCGATAAAAGACAGGTAAGTCTAGTATATAGTTTGTGAATTAATAGTTATTTTGTGCGTAGATACATGCATATGGGCCGCGACAAAAGACAGGTAATTCTAGTATATAGTTCGTGAATTAATAGTTATTTTGTGCGTAGATCAGGGGCGGATCCAGACCGATGCCAACGATGCGAATGCATCGGTCAAAATCATAGGCTGCCCAAAAGTGCGTGTTGAAATTTTTACCCTCGCGCGTGGCGCTCGGTCATGCATCGTGTCTACTCAGTTTATTATTATGTCATAATAATAAAGGATAATAAACTGAGTAGACTCGATGAATGCCCGAGCGCCACGCGCGAGGGTAAAAATTTCAACACGCACTTTTGGGCAGCCTATGGTCAAAATTGAGAAATCATGTTGCTTGAAATAATATGTCGTCAATACTTAGTCAAGCACTCAGTAATAGAATATCTTTGAATCTCTCCAGCTATCAAACCGCAACTATTTGCTTAAACTTGACTCCATGTGACTGTCCATGTCGGGAATACACTATTTAGGATGAAATCCAATTTAAATTGTCTCAATAACAGTCGAAATTGTCAAAATAAGTCCAATATGCGACGTGCGATCGCAAAAGTATTTTCTGTTGTTTACTTTTTATTTTGCGACACTTAAGCGTGAATAATTTCGCGACAAAATATAATATTTTTTACCGCATCCTTTGACGTCACAATAGAAAGCTGATGCATCACCTACGTCACGGTAGATTTTGTTTGCATCGATTTTCAGCCATTTTGCATCAGTAAATGCATCGGTCCCGAGTCCTTTTCCGCGTAAAATCTACTGTGACATCATCAAATCTATTGTTTTAGAGCCCTACGTCACGGTAGATTAGTCCGCTGAGCGATGCATCGCATGCAGATTGCGGGCGCTCGCATCAGTTCACTGATGCAAATTTCAAAATCAAAATCTACTGTGACGTAACGAGGCATTCGATTCAAGTCATGGCGGCAAGGATATGCAAACACTATATGCAAATGAACAAAATTCAACAAATAATGCGAAGAAATATCCCTCGAATATGATGGAGAGCAATTAAGTTACAGTCGAATTAATTACCGAGGTTTGGAATGAATTTGATCTTTCAACTGAGCAGTGAGCACAAGAATTGAAGTATATTTATACTGTGAGAATGTGAGATGCCCACTACGGCCACTAGGGCTCTAAAGTAAGTGGAATTTATGTATATTTTACATTGTAGTACATTGTTAATTGTTCAGTTCAATGTAGATTTGTATGTATTAACATAATAATTCAAGTTTGTGTCTATTTGATACTGCTGTTCATACCAGGAGGGGGGGGTTGTTGGGGGGGGGGATGAGGTAGTTTGACATTTTAGACATTTTACAGTCTTTACAGAGATTTGTTTGTCTGGAGGCAAACCAGCCCCATTACCAAACTTGACAGCTTGCTTTACTGAGGCAAATTTCATCTCTGTTTACATGGGATTTATATAACCTGTGCCCATGCAGACCTTCATTTTTCTCACAGCTGGCAGGCAAAGAAAAATGAAGACCTGATAAAGTCACATGTTATTAAATGTTTGTGTCCTACAACTGCTTTTATGGTTGTAACTCTGATTGCCGACTACTTCTAGCATTGCCATATTTAATGTATTTTTTTGATATTTTGGTTAGTGCTATATATAATTAAATAATGATAGATTAAATAGTGATTGTAACTATATGTAGCTTGTTGTTAAATTATGTGAAATAATTTGACATTTCGCCTGGCACATTTTGATTGGATACCGGTACTAAAAATAAAACTTTGGTGTGGGTCAAGACTTGCATCAGGCTCTGTACAGTATGTAATTACAATGCATAATAATATTGCAGGTTAATTAACCCATTGAGTCCCATTGCACCCTGATGCACCCTACTTTAGTATTTTACTCTGTCTAACGCCAGACGATTTTACTCGTCAAGGGGAGAGCGCTGGCGCTTAATGGGTTAATGAGCTGGATTTCTAATAGTGATGCAATATTGGTTAGAAAACATTACATTTCATTTTATATGGAAATGAGCTGGCGTGCCTCATGACAAGAGTATAATTGCTTTGCATTGCCTGAGTTATTGGGCAATTAATGTACACTGGATATTTTGCAAACAAAGATCATTACCTGGGCTTGCTCGCCTACCATAGTTTGGTACATATGCTTTGTCGGTGCAAATATAATTTGATATTTAAGCTGTATATGTCATTCTGTTGACAAATTTTAATCTTAGAATGATAAAATGATGGACGTTATAAATACTGTATATAACTGCATGTAACTGGTGTATATAGGTTATAATTATGAAATTTGCTCACAAAAGTGGTATAGATTTAATTAAATTATATATATTTGTAGTGCTTAATTCTCTCAATACTATGTTTTGGATAGCCAGCATGGCTCTCTGAGGATTACCATTGATAAGTGTACGGATATATTTGACGAAGATGTGCATTTATATAGTAACACAGGGAAAATATTGATCAATACTACTGCGCAGCCTTTCTACATTGACATCATCTTAAAAGAGTACTATATTAATATATTAGTTGAAAGGCAGGCAAAAGGGGACTGATAGAAGACATCTGATGATTCAATTATGTCATCATATATTGTTTATCATTGTACAGTTTGGTAGGTTCATTTGACAAACAATTTTCAACTAAGATAGTTCATTAAATCAATTTACACACAGTATCACTATATATATATATATCTATTGATTTAAAGTTTGGGGTCATGTGTACCTATAGTTATACTTATAGAATTTTAAAACTCAGTGCTTGTTGTGTGTTAGTTTTACTGGTTTCCTGGTGACAGGGCAATATTCTCAGTAATTTAGAGTGTGGGCTAGTCACCATGCAAATATGCAATTCACATCAAAGGCATCTATTGCTAGGGGTGAATAAAGTTGACATACTGATGCCAACAACACTGTCCATACAGAGTAAGGTTAGCAGCATAAGACAGAGTTGTATATAAATAAGTTTACCAACTAGAGCACAAAATACCTTTATGCACCATTCTAATGCTAAAAAATTTACTCATGGAACATTGCAAATTAGTGGAAATGAATAAGCCTCAGGGAAGGTGGTTAAGAAACCTAATAACATTGTCTTTTAAGTCCAACATTGCAACTAGTGGATCACACTGTATACACCTTTGTTACACGTATGTGTGTATTTGCGTTGTCGTGATTTTTTGCCGAAATGTTTTTCAATAGAAAAGTTAAGGCTACAAGAAGCACAGTAGTAAGTACTGACTATTTTTTAATAGAGACTTATGCACCGCTGCTGCTATTACAATTGTACAAGCAAATATTTTTTCTTATATGGAAAAATTATGGTGTTTTTGCAATATATAGGTTCAAGTTTTTTACGTGCTTTCCAAAAATGCAGCAAATAAATTTGTGACTCTGATGTATGAATTGGAACAAAAGAGTTTGCTCAGAACGCAGGAAATCGCATTTCCGAGGTTCTAGATTTCAAAATTTCCCGGGGGAGGATACCCCCCGACCCCCCGACAAATGCGAGTTCTTATGTATGCATCAGTCAGTTCAGGAGCTGGATCCATCCCTGGCGTAGATACATGTATATGGGCAATGCAATGGGCATGAATCGCATTTATATGATAATTTGATATTCAAATAGGATTTGGCAAATATGCATATATCAACATATTTTAATACTAACATACCGACACCGTTTTATCAAACGAGAATTTCAGACTGGTTTAATTTTGCTTTATTGTAGTTTCATCATCGTTTATATAGACATAGTTTTTGTAAATAAACAAAAAATTTAGACTATATAAAACACTATACTGTAAACCAATTATTCGACGAACTGATATGTAAATTACAATTGACATATAGTCAAGACTTTGGCGTTTTTATGTAGTACAAACGAGATGCTTTGTCTTTGGCTGAACTAGCAAAGAAGAAAGTAAAGAAATCTGTAGAACCAGCAGTCGAATCATCTGTAGAACCAGCAGTCCAATCATCTTTAGAACCAGTAGTCGAGTGCCCTTTGCCCTCCCAGGAAACAGAAGCATGTCAACAAATGCCCCAGGAAGATTTGGAAACAACAGAGGTAGCACCAGAAACCTTTGGCTCTGCAGACGAAAGCATGTCACCATCCACATCCACTTTGATCCAGGCTACATCCACACCACTTACCAGTATATGCAGTCCTAATTGTCCCTGCAAATTGAAATTGGCAAGTGCAAATAGAACTAAGCATCGTTTGAAAAGAAAAGTCGACGAACTAAAACAAACTGTGAAGATGTTGAAAACTCAGGTAACAGCATGTACCAAGATTTTCATTATATGTATACAGTATGCACAGGATTAAAACCCCTATTAGTTTGTATATACCTGTGTGCTGGTACCATAATTTCTGTATTAAGGGGGCTTATTTTTTCCAAGCATCATTGAGGGTGGGGGGATTAGAGAGGGGGCTTATACGAGAGGGGCTATACATGTACAGAAATTATGGTACTGGCTACACATGTAATAATTAGAACCAACTCAAGGAATATTTTTTATTTTTAACAGCAGGAAAATGAGTGGGATGAAATTCAGTTGTGTGACGAGAAGCTTAATGGAAAACAATCGTCAGAATATGTATGGACAACACTCCTGATTCAGATCAAGAAAGTGAACATTGCTTGGATGATGATGATTTTTGCTATGAGAGTGATATTGTTGGAGATGAAACTGAGGATTCTGATGAATCAGATGAGGGAAAGAATGAAAGCAATGTCAAGTAAGAATTTCAACAAAAATAGGCCACATTAACCCATAGCTGGCAATGCACCCAAATGTACCTTGCTTTAGTAATACTCTGTCTAACACCAGGGATTTTATTTGTTAGTGGTAGATTACTGCTAGTAAATAGGTTTATAAAATTGCAGCAGTGTTGTCTTGTTGGATCTAGCAACTAATATAAGCTTTTTTAAGGGCTGCTGGGTGAGCAGAAGAGTGCACATGCTTCCATGGATGTGCACCTACTGTAATTAATTGATTAATTAGTTAAAAACTCTAATTTAAATTTATGTGGTTTTTTAGGGTTGATCCTAATACTCCAGCATATGACGAACCCAAGTTTATTGTTTTCTACACTATGCTTATTTTTCCCCTTTTTTGTTTCAACTGTAAAGAAGGAAAGCCTCAAGTGATGGTAAAGCAGAATGGGACCATGGTAACTATTACCCAAAAATGTGCTAACTGCACTGATGGATTTGTTTGGCGTTCTCAGCTTTTATTACTGGATTGACATGCTGCTGGTAATGTCATGCTTAGTTTCGCTGTTCTGATGGCTGGGGCATCTATCAGTAAGATTCTGTTAGTCTTTCGCCACATGGGTCTTGCAGTATTCTCTATTCGAACATATTTTCGACATCAAAGGCATTTAGTTTTCCCATCAATATTTTACTACTGGAAAACCTACCGGAAAAGCCTTATAGACAAGGCGAAAGTGCTTAACAGAGTAGAATGGTCAGGTGATGGTCGTTTTGATTCGATGGGACACTCTGCCAAATATGGTGTTTACACCATGTTATGCACAACGTTGATGAAGGTGGTGCATTTTGAAATTGTTCAGGTGAGCTCCTTGGCTAACAGTTAAAACTTTACTTGGTGGTGTGGGATCGTATTGGGGTAATGTTACAGTAGTATCTATACAAGATGCTGAAATGGTAGATTTAGATCAGATGTAATGTGTCTTGACTATTTTAGAGTGCATCACACAATATGTTATTGTTATCTTTTTACCAGGCAAATGAAACTGGTGATAGCCAACAGACAGAATTGGAGGGAGCAAAGCGGTCCTTCAAATCTCTGGCCAATGAGGGTGTTGATATTGAAACATTTGTTTCAGACCGGCATCGTGGGATTGCCAAGTGGATTCGCCTAGAGCATAAAAATACCACACATTACTATGATATCTGGCATGTGGCAAGATCTGTGGCAAAGAAGTTATTAAAGGCAAGCAAAGAAAAGGGCTATGATTTATATATACTGGTGTGCAACGTCCACTAAGGCTGGGTTTCGTGCTCTTATTAAAGCTAAGTGGCTATCGTTTATGAGACATGTAGCAAACAAACATACTGACCATCCAGACCCACTCTTCAGCTGTTGTAAACATGCAGAGGTGGAACCAAGAAAATGGATTAAAATTTGTACAGTATCTTGCCGATGATTAATTCTTCTTACAGCCCATAAACATCACAGTATTTACAGCGTTACAAAAATTCACATTCGCCTTATTTAGAAAATATATGATCAATAGCGTATTTTTCAAAATGATTCAATATATGTTCGTATTTCTTTTAATTTATTCCTTGTTATGGTCTGGTCATAAAGTATAGGAAGCTATGAAAATTTAAATTTTAAAAGGATAATTTTCATAGACCAACTCCCCCCTATACTTTGACCAGTCCCTAACAACATTTAAATCCAAAAAGTACTACTACTACTACGTTTCAACGGTTTTTATTTCAAAGTTTCTTCATTTTTTTCAGTCATCAAATTTATCACCTTATTTTTGGTTTTGTACATTATTATTTCAGGAACACCTGCATACGACAAACTAAAATGCATACTCACCAAGAAAAGCTTACTGAGTGACATAGAGAAACTCTTGCCAGATACACAGACAAGCTGCCTCGAGGGCTTTCATGCCACTCTTAATCACTGGCATCCAAAGATGATTGGGTTTGCTCGGCCAGGAAAATTTTGCAGGTATATATTGTTGTAAAAATACATACAAGGCCCTACAAGATCTTTGTTTGTACAGTACAGTGCAACTGTTTCGCAGTTATGTAATTATGTAACCAGATTTATGTGGTTACATAATATACCAACAGAAGTCAGAAAATGTTTGGTGCGTCAAGGTTTTTAACCAAAATTGTTCGTACGATTGCTTGCAACAAGTACATTTTTATATATTTGGCATTTTAGACATGCACTTGCAAGTCTGCACTTCAATGAGAATATACACCGTGATTGTAAAAAGTCAAAAGGAGGCGAAAAATACTTCTGAGTGACATATCCCAAATTTAAACTTGGGGAGGAAGTTGTAAGAGAAGTGCCTGTGCCACCTACATATGGTAAGATATATCATTTGATGACTAACATGTATATACTGTATAAGACAGTTTGTAATACTGTGGTGTTTTCTGTCCTTAACTGTCAGTCTGGTATTATACCTGCTGTATCAGTCTGTATTATTTATATTCAAGACTATGTGGATTGCATAAAGAAAGTTATGTTTAAAACGCAAGAGGAAGATCTGGAAAGGTGTACAAGTTCTATTGCGGCAAGAAACCCCAGGCCACTTAATACTCAATTTCCAGATCGTGTTGGAAAGGAGGAAGCTGTAAAGAAGTACATTGACCAGTGTGAAAAAATAATACGACTGAACTCCCCCCCCCCCCC